CCTGAGCGTTTTCTGGGCAAGGCTGGCTGGCACTCTATCACATCAGTCACACTTCACTTTTGGCTTTTTCTATTTAATTGGAGCTAAGAGCCTCATGGACTCTTGCTCTGGCTGGTTCTGAACCATAATCTTCAGATCTCAGCCTCCCGAGTAGCTGGGATTACTGGGATGAGCCACCAGTGCAAGGCTTTGTGTATCTCATGTTATAAAACCATTCCTTTCAGGTACATACCCAGAAATAAAGTCAGAGCGAATGTAACTCAACAACCATTTTCATTTTTACCATCCAACTGTCACTGAGACAAGCATTTCCTACAATTTACACTGAAGTGAAGGTTCCCAAGAGATCTGGGGCACATTTCCTGTAGATCAGGAAACTGAGGCTGGGGGAGGATTCCTACCCCTACCCCTAACCTAAAGCAGTGCTTCTGTACTTGGCACTTCATTGGGACTTCATATAATACCCCTTTGCAGATAACGATTTTTCTAATTGCTCAGTCCTATGCAATTTCAATACCACTAATACATTGCCTATCTGTGGCTACATTAGATGTGTATTTGTATGCAAAGACTCCTGGTAAGAATGCTTGTGTTCTGAACTGGGCACTGGCAGCTCACATGTATCACCCGAGCGGATCACAACCTAGGCAGGAAAAGTCCATGAGACCCTTCTCTCCAATTAACCACCGGAAAAATCAGAAGTGGGGCTGTGACTCAAAATGGCAGAGCGTCAGCCTTGAGCATAAGAGCTCACAGACAGCACTTAGGTCCCACGACCGACCAACAAACCAACCAACAAAAATGTTGGTGTTTCTAGCCACAGGGGTGGTGGGTCTGCTAGAGCCTGGCTCCCAATCCAGGCTCTGACCCCTGCTTCTACTTACCTGCTAACAGCATCTCCTTTCTTGGACCTTGCCCTCCTGTATCACCAGCTCCTTCAATGCCTTGCGTTCATCCTCAGGGCAAGGCACACACCCTTTCAGGTAGCACCCAATGCCTTCCTGATCTGACATTCCCTTCCCACACACTGTTCCCGTGGTCCAAGCTAAACGCATGTGCCTGCAGCAGGCATATTTACTCTCTCCAGACTCATCCTCAAGCCCTCCTCTCCTGACTCACAGCTGCCTGGATATGAGATCCTACAGGGCGCGGACCTCAACTTCCCTCCCAGGCTATATGGAAGCCCAACTTGGGACTTATCCGTCTCCATCCACTCTGCATACTCTATTATATATGTGCTTGCCCATTCTGCCGATGGATGGTGAGGGCAAGAGACTGCATCCTTGAATCATCTCATCCACTAATGCAAGGCAGGGACAGTAGGAAGCTGTAAATGGTCCATGCCACATGACAGTATAAACTTCATCATGCCATACATAACAGAACATGAAGCTGAACCATCTAGACTCATAGCCTTTCTGAGCCTGGATGGTCCTTAGAGGAAAATATACACCCCCCACCACCTCCACATCCAGCTTTTAGTTTATAGTTTTTATGGCATTCCATCCTCTGGATACCAGAAGACTCTGAGGATGGACAACTGACCTATGTCAATCATAATGGACACGACCTTGGGTCTTAATGAGAACTCTTTGAGAAGAAAAACAAAAAAATCCCTGTTACTGGGCAGTAGAGACAAAAGATTAACATGGGCCAGAAGTTAACTACATGGAAAGAGTTAGCAGGCTGCCTAAGAGAGATCACATGGAGAGATTCCAGTGGGGGAAACACAGGCAGACCACACCAACCAAGCCCTCAAATCCTTGTTCCATTCTCTGGTCCAACCAGGCATTATGCTCTTAAAACTTGCAGTTCCGGGATCAACACAATTTTCCTCCTCTTGTGTTAAAGCAGCTTGAAAGGAGATTATTTTTTTTGTTAGCACAATATAACAGGGCTCTGACCCTCCCAGTACCTACGCCTGATCTGCACAATAGGAATGTAACAAATACTAATTCCCTTTCTCCTTTCTCATCAAAGGGAAGGTCCAGGCACGAGGCCTACCATACATACTGGTAAGAACCAGGTGAAATTGTGCCACCCAAATGCTTGCTACAATGCCTGGCTCCCGAGATAGACCCACCCACTGAACACCAACAAGTCCTATAGCATCATGTGCCATGAGTCACGGGTGGAGGGATGGTTCAGGAATCCTGGGTTTGCTTCTCTACTTCTTCATGAATCCACTAAGTGGCAGTGTCAACAACTCCCAGTGAATGCAATCAGAACCCAGAATACGAGCTAGGAAGGGTCCCTTCTCGATGGTGATGGTTGTGCTGCCATGAGGAACTGGGCCGATCTGTGGGTGTCTGCGAAGCCTGCATCAAAGGCACGATCAGGAAGGAGGGTTTGATCTGCCTCATGCTCTACTTATGTCAAGTCCGTTTGCCAATCACCCACTCTTACTGTGTCTCAAAAGGCAAGAGAACACTGCTGTTCTAGCTTCAAACCCTCACTGCCAAAGGACACACACGTCTCCGCTGTACTTGCCAATTCTCTCTGGGAGCTCTCTAGTGCTTCCTTCTTTCACGTTAATAAAAAGGAAAAAAAAAAGTTGGACAGAAAAAAGGGCCCTTGTCCCCTCTAGGCTGTTCTCCTGCTTAGCCAACTCATCCATCCTAAAACTAATTCAATTTTATTTGCTTTGCTCCGTAAGGATTTTCTTTTTAGCCCTCATCTCTGTGCTATTGGCACTGAGAATTTGGTTAAAAAAAAACAACAACAACTCAAATCTACTGAGTGAAACCAAGTTTTAGAATATACACATACACTATTATAAAATTATGTTAGGCATGGGGTGATTAACACACTTTCCATTTGGTCTTTTTCAGAAACAATAAACAGTTGTCATTTCCTCAAGGTAGAAAGAAGGCCACACATCTTGAGTGATTGGTAGGGTTTAAAAAGCTGTCTTTACTAGGGGCACAACTCTCTTCTACAATACGTGGGCAGTAAACACTTTGTTTTTAGCTGTGTGACATCTGTGTCTGCTCGACTATGTGGTCCTTCTAGGGTTCTGTGGTGTCTTTTCACAGATGGGCAAATGACAGTGGTGAGCCTGAGAAACAGTCCTGAGGTTTTTGTCAGAACTACTTGGTTATGATGTTTCTTCTGTGGTTGTTTTCACTCGGAGACAGGCTATGTAGCCCAGGCTGGCCTTGAATTTGAGATCCTCTCACCTCAGCCTCTTCAGTGCTGGGATTATAGTTATGAGTCACCATATCTGGCATTAGAAAGTGTGTCTTGATGCTGGGATGGCTAAATAGTGTCTGTAGTCTGGCAAAAGAATGTGGGACAAAGACTTAGAGACTAAAAAGATCCCAGTCACAAGTAGAGACAAGAGTCCCTGTTAATTTCCCACAATCATTTTAACTTGCATTAGAAATCTCCATTGACCAGTGAGCTCCAGCTCAGTATCTGCCTGGAAAAGGGAAGGCAGGGAGGTAGTTCATCCCCTCCTGGTCAGCAGCAGTGACAGCCCTATCATTACAATCAGACACCTGGGGAAGCCTGAGATGGTGCCTTTTGTTGGCCCAGGTTCTAGTCCCTAGACCCCAGGACACACGGGAAGGAGACCTGCCTGTACATTCTGTGAATCTCACCTTTGAACTCCATCTCCAGGCAACTGATGCCTGCCCCCTGCCTTAGGACCAACCCTGCCATCACCGGCTCTCCCGTTGCTTTGCTGCATCCGTTTCCTTTGCCGGTCTCTCACCTGCCCTGCTTCAATCTCTGCACAGCAACCAGGTCATCAAGTCTCATCATGTCACTCTTCTGTACCAAACCCAGTGGGTGTCATAGCCACAGGTAACGTGCCATCGAAGGCCCTCAAGGCTGACCATAGCCTGACCCTCTTCTACTCTGCCTCTCGACTCATGCTCTTGCCACTTACATCACGGCAACATGCCAGCCGCTCACCCAGGTGCCTTTGATCTTCCCTCTGCCTGGAGGAGCATGGGGTTAGGCTGAGATGGAGCCCATCTGATTCCCTCATGGAGGCCTGTTCATCTGTCATTGCCCCGCTTAGATTTTTCCATCGCCAGTCTGAACATGAAACTGTTATGTTCCTATTCTTCCCAGATTTTCTTTTCTCGATGACACACAGTATCTTCTCAGGACTTACATCTTAATTGTTTATTGGCCTGGATCCTCCACTAACTGGAGGCTCGATGAGAACTGGAATCGTTGTGTTGCTCACCTTTGTATTACAGGTGCCTATCCAAGTGGCAGGTTCTCAACCTTAATTGAAGGAATGCAAAGTAGGGAGGGAAGGAGGGAGGGAGGGAGGGATCAAAGGACAACACCTGTTTCTCCCTGGTGACGCTTGTTAGACTTTGGTCTGGGAGGGGCAAGCAGCCAGGCCTGTCAAGTGGCCAGCCTGGCTTTCTCAGGTGAACGGCTGAGAGGGTCTAGCTAAGAAAACACAGAATATCGACAGAGACTCAGGCAGCGGGAATGGCCCTGGTGGGACACGGTGGGCACCATCGGGACAATCATCACAGAAGGGAGGCTTACCACTTGCCACTTTTATATCACCAGTATTAAATATGACATTATACACGAACTGGATCCTTACTTTCCCATTTAATCTTCAGCAAAAGGCTATAAAAACAGCATGAAGGTGAAGAGGACTTACTCAGTGGCTACAGCCAAGTGGTATGTGGTCTCAGAGAACCAGGAAATGCTCTGGAACTTAGCAACTCACTTGGCAGGCTCACAAACTAAAATTGGAAATGGGATGTGAATCCAGCAAACAGCTGAAATCTTCAACTTGGATCTCCCCCTGCTTTTCAGGCAAAACCTCTTTGGTACTTAAATCCTGGAAGCTTGCACCTCAAAGGTAAATGTTTTAGCCTGTGTCATCTTCCAGAGATAAGATCTTGTCACTAGCTCTCAGCTGGCTCAGTTTTCATGGGTGAGCAACACCTGGCCAGCGTGCCCCCCCACCCGCTCATCCCCGCCCCCCCCCCCACCCTGTGGGAGCTCCTCCCGTCACTCACCTCCAGTACACTAGCACAGCAATGAGAAGGACGAGGCACACGAAGGTCAAGGCTGATACCACAATCAGAGGGATGATCCACTCCATCCTCCCTGGAGAGGGCCGGCTTATCATTCCAGAGGTGTTCTTCTCTGCTGCCAAGAGAAACCATCCCAGTTAGACCACCAAGGCAGGGCAGGGAGAGCGCCTGGGGGGGGCCCAGCATGATGTGGCGCTCCACCCCATTCTGTGTGGTTTCCCGTGAACTCAGCTGCTCACCCTGGGCTGTCCTGGAGGAGTAGGGGTGAGGGGTGGGGCAGGAAGGGAAGGCTGCAGTCCTTTTATGTCCTGCTCTGTCCAAAGCCGAATACAGCCTCCTCTGCGGGTGGCAATTTCTACTGGCCAGTAGGATGGATTTGCTGATGAAGTTTGTAAATGTTTGTAACAAGAGCTAGGCAGGAGGAAGATGACCTACCTGACTCCACAGACACTCCCAACCCATCCAACTCTGGACGCACTGAGACAATGGGACTCAGTGCTCGGAGAGGGAGAATGTCCACAGGAAGAGTGCCCTGGGTTTCTGGAGAGGTCTAAGGAAAGCCAGTCTGGACCAAGTGGCCATGGGTTCTTGCTGTCTTCCCACCCATTGTCCTCCCACAGTGACTCCACCCTGCTCTGTTGGACAGGGTCAGGGTGGGACAGCCATTCAAGGGTGGAGCTCCAGCTGGGCTAGCCGGCGGTGGGTGGGTGTGGGACCAGGGCAATGATACTCTCACCCTGGTGTCTGCACCCATCCCTTCTGCTCACAGGCTTCCTCCGCCTGGCTCCGTGAAAGTTCCAGCTCCCAGGAGCCCAGAACCTACCCTTGATCCTCCCAAAAGCTCCCACACCAGCGAAGACAGGAAGTCACACTCACTCAGCTCTAAGTAGCCAGCCACACACTTGCTGTTAAACAAGGCAAGTCGGCCAATGGGTTCAGGATTTTCTCCTTAGCCAAGACGTCTTACCCAGGCATCTGCTTTTCTCCGCCGCTCCAGCCCCCCAGGAGCCTCAGCACGAGATCCTAGTCTCTCTTGAATTGTGGGCCAGGCACCGGAAAATGGCCAGGTGGCTCCAATGGAGCTCAGACGCCAGACTAGGCGGCTGGAGAACAGCACAGGTGTACGAAAGTGAGGGGGAGTGGAGACAGGAGGTGAGAACGCAGAGGGATGGCTTGAACCATCAGAAGCCGGCTGCAGCTGGTTTGTGCTGGGCAAGGATTCCACCTGCTCTGTGAAAATGAGGCCAGCACACTGCCAGCCCAGTGCCCCTCTGCAGGATGGACTAAATGCAGGGCTAATCAGGCTGCGTTTCCCAGGGAGGGAAGGTGGGCTGAGCAGAAAGACATAATTGGCCTTGAGAGATATTTAAAGAGGCAAGGCTCCGGAGCTGCGAGGAGGTGTGTTCTGGTGGGTTTTACTGGGTTTCCTCTCAGGGACTTTCCACCCAACACCTTTGTTTAGGCACAGGCCGCTGGGACAGGTGGGGCCTTATTATCTTCAACTTACAGGTAAACACACAGAGCCAAGCAGGATAAACACACTGATTCAAAACCACTACAGATCATCTTACTGTAGCCTTCCTGGCTGTGCCAGCTCATTTCTCTGGGGCCCATTTTACCTTGCATGGATATACCAGCTGGTCCTACTGTGTGCCAGACACAGGGCTACAGGATGGGGAGGGAGCCACGCCTCAGACAGAAGCAATTCTCTGCACATGGGGGAGGAGTCATTTAAAGGAGAAGAAGCAGCCCCCCCCTCCCCCAGGGGCAGTCAGCATGCAAATACAGGTTACTGGGAAGCACTGGGAAGCACTCAGGGAAGATCTGAAGGATGAAGGAGAGTCAGCCAGGCGAAAATATGACCACAAGAGATACATGACCAAGAGGGAAAATTAGAATCCAGATCAGCTAGAGCCTGGGAGGCTGAATTAGGGGGGAAGTGGTTTCAGATCTAAGCTATGGTAATAGTGGCTGAAACAAGAGGGAGACAGACATCAGACATAGAGTGTTTTGACTGTGAAGTCCTTGTGAGGAACCAGAGTTGCAAATGAGAATGAATTTATGAAGCCCCATCAGGGGTCAGCTCAGCCAGGCAATTATCTGGTGGATGGGGGGAGGGGGCATCTCAAAGACCTGCAGGTACTGTTAATGAAAAGAAAACAATGTCAGGAGGCCTGATAGACAGGTCACGTGTCCAATTAACTCAGTATTTACCCTGGGAAGGCCTCAGGTGCTAGGGGGCTCCCCCAGTGTCTTATTTCTCTGCCACTCCATACAGAAAAGGATTCTTGCCTGTGGGATTGTGGCAGGCAGAGATGGGAGGCAGGATGCAAATCCTTCTCTTCTGTCCTAAACCCTCGCAAAGGTTTCTTGGTCCCAATAATGCCTTCTGCTTGCATTTCTAACCCGTTATGGGAAGTATCGGCTGCAGGGTACTTCTCCCATCTGAAATCCTGTAAGACTACTGCAGACTTTCCAGGCCTTCTTGGGGGCAGAAAAATGATCTTGTTGTGAGGGAAATTAGCACTGTATTTATTCCTGAAATTACATGGACAGCTCTGGAAGAGCCCTCCCTCCTCCTCTGCAAGGCTGAGTTGTTCCAAGTTCTCCCAGGGAGAGATCCAGGATCCAGACAAGATTGTAGCTATTAGCATGGACATGTCAGTGTTGCTGGGGGACAGAAAGGAGGTCTGGGCAGGGTGAGGGTCTCAAATTCATAAGGGAACCAGGTTCAGAGCTGGGCTAGACTCTGGATGTACCATTCAGAGTCATTTCATCATACCATACGGGGCTCTGGGGTCCTGTTTTGGGGAGGGGGAAGGATGGGGACCACCATTGAAAATCCTCCGCCCTCAAAGGCAATGTCTGGAGATCTCAAGTTGCAGCCAACACCTTACAACACGAAGAAACGGAGAGAATCGCTGCCCACCACAGCCAGATTCCTAGCCTGGTAGATAGTCGCATTTGCTGAGGCCTTTTCCATGAAGAATAGACATATGAGTAACTACTGATTTGCACGTGGGGCATGAGGATGTCGATTTCATTTTCAAGTTCACATCATGCCTCTGTCATCATGGCACTTAGGGTCCTAGAACTGGATTCTATCTCCAGGTGACCTGAAGTCTCGTCACTAACCTGAGGAGCCCCTCTTGGCCTACGGTCCTGAGTCCCTGCACAGCCAAGTCCTAGCATCCTTGATTGGCATCCTCTCCCATTATCTTCTAACCACACCCATCTGCCCCCTCTTTGCCTTTGCCCTGTTCTCACTACCAGAAATGCCCTTCTCCTCTGCCCCCTGGGAGCTCTTCTAGGACCCTGCTCCTGGTTCTGGAGCTATCTTCTCTGTGAGGTCTCCTTATGCCCTCAGTTTGTGTTATCTCTGGAGGGTGGAGTAGTTAAGATCACAGGTTCAAATCTCACGTCTGCTGCTTCCTGTGTGACCTTTAACCAGTCACTTAAAAACCAATCTGGTTTACAATGGGATGAAAAAAAGGCTACTTTATAGGAGGGTTAGGCACATTCACTGAGAAATTATGTGTAGGATGCTTAGAAGTGAGTAAATACAGTCATCGTCATTATGTTGTGCTGCTTGCTGCTTCTTGTGGACAGGACACCCAAGTACAAACTGTTCCTAACTACAGCAGGGTGGATTTCCATCTGGCCTTCAGCAGAACAGGAAGAAAGCTCTGCTTCTTACTGGCTGTACAAGTCTGGTAAGGGAACCACCTTCTCTGTGCCTCAGTTTCCTCCTCTGTCAACGCGGATAATGTTGTGGACTGTTATTGTGATGGTGGTGGTGTGAGGATTAAATTAGTACATGTCCAACACTCGGAGAGTGTTGCTGGCACTCGGCAGGACCTGGCTAACGTTAGCTGTTGTGACTGTCAACGCCGCCATCTGCAGAAGCATAATCCTCGTCACCATCACCACCATCCGGACTCTCTTCCCCACCAACATCGCAGCACGGCACACCAGGCAGATGGTGCCGGGACGGGTGTCCGCTGATTCTGACTCCTCCTCCCTGTCGTACCTGAATGCATGAGTCACAGCCACACGGCACCTCGGATGCGGGCGTGGGCACAGGGGCTGCTGACTGTGGCCCTGCCGCAAAGAAGCTGCAGCCTCACAGTCTTTCCTGAGACAAGACCCCCCCCATTCCTGCCATCCTTCTGCAAGACACCTGTCCTACTGCTGGCTATATCTGTGGAGCAAGCTGCCAGGAACTACTAAGGACACACAGAACCCTGCACTGTCCGCACCTCTACATCTCAAGGAACCTTCCCCAGGCCAAGACACCCAGAGACCAGGGAACGCTAGAGAAGCCCCATGATTTCTGGAATCCATCCGAGGACCCCCAGGGGATACCTGATGCCACAGACAGTACCAAGCCTTCTAGATTGCTTTCTCCTATGCACTGCTTATGAGAAAGCTTCATGCAGAAAGTAGGAGTGGTACGAGAATAACCATAACTAATAGTGAAAGACAGCACATGTTAATAGCACGTTAGGGTGAGAGCTATGTGAATGTGATCTCTCTCAACATATCTTACTGCTCCTTAACAAACCCAACGTATGATTTTCTTAAGTCTTTTCACATAAAGGAAGCACTTCAGGGCTTCTTTTAGGCATACAAGAATTGCTAGCATCACCACTCTGCTGTGGGACCCTTATGAAGTAAACTGAGGGTAGTTTAAGACAATAGGGACCAGGTACCAGGGACAGCCAATCTGATAACGAAGATAGCTATTAGTAGCTAAGAAAGAGTGCCATGCATCCTATGTGAAAACAGAGTTGAGTAGGATGAAGCAAGACTCTGTCAAGTTTCTTCAGGCTACTCAGAATGGTGCACAATTTACAACTGTTTGCTTCTAGAATTTTCCATGTACTATTGTTATTATGCAGTAACTTGCATATGGGTAACTTACACTGTGGCAGGCAAAATGAGGGTTGAAAACCTTCTGCATCAACGAAGGCAGTGTAATTCTGATGTCTTGAACATCAGAATCAGGCAGACCTGGGTACAAGCTCTGACTTGTCTCTTGTGGCTTTTGAGCAAATGAATGCTCATCACTGAGCCACATGTCTGTCCTCTATCAAAAGGAGATACATGTTAATA